AGGTTTTGGCAAAGCTGCCAATCACCAAAGAGCCCACTGACCCCTGCCCAGGATCACTCGCCCCAATTCTCTTCCTAGGACTGGTTTGAGATGAGTGGGAACATCTCCACATGGCTCTGCAAGGATTATCAATCCAGCTCAAGTTACTTCTGCAATTACCTCCTTTCTTTTCTGTCTACAAAGGTAGGCAGAGCCCTGACGGCAACCCATGCATTACAGCACTGCCTGCTTTAATGATGAGCACCCCCAACTACAAGGACATGCCCTTGGGGTGCACCCCAGACACCATGCCAGCCCACCTCCAGACCGTAAACACCACAGTTAAGCAAGCAAAACTCCTGAGGTAGAAAGCAGAGATTACACTGGATGGGCAGAAAAACCTAGAAAGCCAGCCGAGCTCTGATGTGACTGCAGCACTACTGAGAGATCCCCTGAGAGCTGTTGTCCTTCTCCCAAGACATCAGCTGGTGCTTCCCGGAACAGAGGCTGGGAATAGCCAAGATGCTGAGTCTGGAGTTCCCCTTCCACCTGGCTACGGGGCAGGCACACAAAGGAAACAATCATCTCTGATTTTAACAGTCTCGGCTGTTCTAAGACAGCTAGAGAGGTCCATTTTGCTTTTGCAAGGAAAGGCTCGCAGTGCTTTTTCACAGACTACACAGGCATGCAGACCTCAGAGCAAGCCATATACTCAAGAAAGAACAACACATGACCCTGTTGTTCAGGGGCTGGTTGCTTTACCTCCATGCAGAGCCACAATCCACCTAAACCTGTGCCATTTTCCAGCAGCTCCAGAGACCGCCTCTGACATGCACACATCCTCCAAGCATCACCTGGATGACGGACCCACAAATCTGTCACAAGTTCAGGGCACTTTACAACAAGATTCCAACTCTCACAGTCCAGCCCCACATCTACGTACAGCCAGCACACAGCCTAGGAAGCAATAAGCCAACCTACTAGCCAACTGACCTCATCAACCAGCAGGCTAAGCAAACTGGGAAATACTGGGAGCTGCGTGGAAGCCAGCGCCCTCATTCTTTATTGACCAATTCATCAAGTGTCAGACCACTGCTACAGCTAACTTAGCAGCACGCCCTCAAAAGATGCAGAGACAACCACCCAGCCTCATCAGTACATTGGACTGGCAAAATAAGTTTATTCTGCTCAAGCCAAACTCAAACCTGTACCTTTCTTCCAGCTTTTGATTAACATTCCTATTGGGAAAAAAGGGAACGGCCACCCTCAGCAGTTCCTCTCAGACACTGCTTCTTGATCCAATTTTCAACGCTTCGCACATCAAAAGGGATTTGTCTGAAAGCCTGGACATGGACACACCCCAGCACCTCAAACAGCAACGCCAAATCCCCGTACAGGCAAAGCAGTTACAGCTGTGTTCCTGTAAGTGTCAGGACAATTTGTTAGTCCCATGCTGATGGACAGAGGCTTTCAGAAGGAACAGCAGAGACACCATCTCAAAAGCATTTTCAACATGGCTTTCCCCAGCCATTTCTAAGAGCCCCATGATGCTGCAAAACCCAACTTCCAAATGAGGATATAAACGTCATCAAGGAGCAATTTGCTCTACTCGCAGCTACTACACAGTAAAATCCACTCAGCTATGCCCCAGAAAATATGCAAGGATCAAGGTGGTACCCAAACACTTCCAAATCCCATAGCTGGCAAAACCCTGAAAAAAGACAATAAAGCAGAGAAATGTGAAAGACAGAAGATTAAGACACTCACCTTCCAGGCATGCTACAAGTGTCCCTGACTAGGTACACCAGGCTCAGCCTCATAGTGAAAAGAGCAGTTGCAGTGTCACATTTCCCTCATTTTTGTCCTATGAGGACTGTTCTCCTGCCCAGGGGAGCAGACTTCCCCATGGCTTTCAGGAAGGAAATGAGAAAGCTGCAGCACTATTTGTTCAGGACAGACAAATATGTTTACTTGGTCCAGTTGGGTCCTGCTGAAACCTTAGTTTACTAAGCACAGAAGGAATTGAACAGTTTGAATGAAATGGGAAGAAAGAGGCTGGAAGCAGAGGGCAGCAAGGCAATCCAGAGGAACCAGTGCACGGCGAGGAAGACTAAATTAGAAGCCTGACCTGCCAATACCTAACACAGTAGTTGAAAAAGGCAAGTAATTACAGAGGGAGAGACACAAGACCCATACTACTGGACTTGTCACCTGAAGGGACTGGACCCATCTCCTCTCCATGGGAGCTCCCCACAGGGCACACAGAGGTCCCATCACTCCCATCCTCATCTCCACTAACGAAAGATAAATGTCTGTATCTTATCTGTGATGCCACTTGCCCCTTCCAGAATAGCTAACAGCCTTGCTCTCCCAGGCAGAGACCACAACATCTTGACATGACTCACGTTCATGTCGACGGGACTTTTGCAACAGGTTCACCCAAAAGCTGCAGATCAACAGCAAGCTATCCTCTTTTAGAGAGAAAGAGAATCTTTGTTTACGGGCTTGAAGCGATGATAACCATCCTTCACTCTTTCACTCATTGGAACTGATAGAGCTGGTTTAGTTCAAGTTTCTCAAGGGTCAATTTCTGGCCATCTTGCTGTGCAAGATGAAGACAGACCCACAGCACTGAACACCTCCATGCACACACTAATGGCCTAACAACCTTTTAAACCAAACAGCTCACCAGGTGCTTCATTTTAAGCTCTATGTATTCAAGTCTCAACTGTCCCAAGATCCTCTCAGGTTGCAAATCAAGTCTTATGGAGGATGGAGACACGAGCAACCAACCTGTGGCAGCACATTTCCCCAGAACAGAAGAGCTAGGTCTCAAAAAACAGACCCCACTTGCATCTTAATGCCAAAACCCTGAACACATGCCTTCATTTCCAAGGGCATTCAGCAGCATGACGTACCTCTGCCAACACTGGGGGATGGCACAGGGAAGTATGCCACAGCCACACACCTCCTTCCAAACACCATTTCTCTGTCTAGAGCAAGAATGAGAAAATGCAATACTTTTATCAGGTGTCGGCCTGGAAAACCTCTATGCACTACAGGTCAGCCAGCACCTTGCTTTTCTCCTTAAGGTGCACACCTCAGGTGAAAAACAAGCATTTTGCATATCAAGAGGAACAAAGCATAACTGGGTTAGACTGATTCTCATTTCTAGAGAGAATGAGATTTTAATTTTCCTTCTCTCAAAAGCAGACTGTAAATGCCCAACTGAGACCTGTTTTCACTGAACACCTTGAGAAAAAAATGCAAAAAATTAAACTGCACAAGGAAAACCATCAAACACTCCAAATCTGAGATATTGGCAGCAAAGGCAAAAACCCTTCATTGGATGCAAGAGGGCAGCGATTGCACGACAGAACAAATTAATGATTCTTAGTAGTGAATTTTGTTCCACTCATTCAGACACACATTAGACATCTGCTCAGATCCATGCAGATAAACGTAGGGCAGCTCAGGAATACGCTGCATACAAATTGCTGAAGTGACAGCTTAGCTCATCTCAGCTGCTCTTTCCAGCAAGCCCGTTTCTAAGCAAGACCATCCTCTCGCTGCAAATGGAGCTGCACCTCGTGTGGTGGTACCACCAGCAAATGGAAGGAGAAACTCCCTTTAAAGTGATGGCAGCTGCCCTCTGCGAACGAACAACAGGATTGCATTTCTAGGTGTTAAAAAAAAAAAAAAATACATCTCCCCTAACCAAATCCTCCCCTGTGCTAACACAGTAGAGAGGGATGCAGGCAGAAATCTCCATCCTTCACCTGAAATAAGCTGTTTCTACTCTTTATGGGTTTAACTGCTCCAAGCCAGGAGGGCAGGTGTGCCACATAGCATGCCTGGAAACACCTGGCAGGAAAACTTCCCTTTCCACATCTGTGAAGTTAGACTTAAAACAAAGAAATACCCAGTAGCTAAAGGAAAAAAAGGCAAACCCCAGAAAGGGGGCCAGTCCCACACCCCGCCTGGTGTGATTTTAGGACAAGAAAGAACAGGCAGCATGGAAAGGGACTAAAGAAAGGGACAAGGGGGCAATTTTGGCACAATATGGGGACACCAGCAAGGTGCGAGGCACATCCAGGGATGGCCAACACCACCAGTTACACCAAGTAGCACCACGCCAGCCCCAAACCCACAGGGCTCATCACCAGCATCCCCAGCCCAACTGGAAAACACACGGTGTTCAACAGCACGGGAACCCACCTTGGGTGACCGCGCTGTTAATGCTAAATATTGGGATCCCTTGGCCGGGTATCTGGGGGATGCAACAAAGCAAGGCAACTCCGGGGCACCGTGACCTCAATAACGCTCGCCACCCCCCAAATTTCAGTCTGGGTGTGGACAGCTCCGTTTTCTGAAGCGCCTTTTCCTCATGGTTTTCTGTTATCGATCGATTTATCTTGTTTAATTACAGCTGCCCCCCGCCTCTCCCCTCCCCGAAGGCGGCTGCAGAAGATGGCACCGCGCCGGGGCGGGAAGGCGCTGCCCGCCCCTCCTGCCGCAGCCCCGCCGGCACAACCCCCGGCCCCACCTGCCGCAGGGAACGGGGCAAAAAAAAAAAAAAAAAAACGGGGAAAAGGGAGAGAAAGAGAAAATAAAATAAAATTTAAAAAAAAAAAAAACGCTCCCTTCCCGCCCTCCCCACCGGCCACCCCGCCCCGCCGCGCACCTGCAGCCGGGCGGCAGCGCTGCCGCAGGGGCCGCCCCTCGCACTGCTGCAGCGAGCGGGCTGCCCCGCGGGCGAACCAGCGCCGGGGGTGACGCGCCCCTCCGCGGCGATTTTTTTGGGGCTGAAATGGTTGGGTTTGGATTGATTTTCTTTTATCCACCCGCACCCCCCCCCCCCTCCCTCCTCCTCCTCCTCCTCCTCTCCACCCATTTCACGCTGTCGGCGTGGGGACAGCGAAGCGCAACGCCGGTAGAGCTTGGTGAGGGGGGGGGGGGGGGGGGTCCGGCCGTGCAACACCCCCTCCCACACGGCGCTGTCCCGGAGGCCCGGGCCCTACCTGCCGCTGCACGGGTGTCCGCACCGGAGCCGGGCGGCGAGTGACAGCGGCGGCGCGGGCGGGGCGGGGCGGGGGGCGCGCGCGAGCTCCGGAACCTTCGCCGAGCCGGCGGGGGGGGGGGGGGGGGGGGGGGGGGGGGAAGACGGCACAGCGGCAAAGCGCATGCGCGGCGCATCTCCTCACACACCACCCCCCCCTCCCCTTTTCCACCTCCCTCCCCGGGAGCTGGGCGCATGCGCAGCGGGAGGGCGGGGCCGCCGCCGTCTTTTGTCTGCGGGAAGCAGGGGGGGAGGCGGCCCCACCCGACAGGGGGCGCTCGCGCGCTGCCCCCCCCCCCCCCCCCCCCCCCCCCCCCCCCCTTCCTCTCCAACCGCCGCCTCTCTCCGCCCCCGGCGCCATTTTGTACTGGGCGCTGAGAGGGGAGTTCGGGGGGTTCTGTGTACTCAACACCCCGCTCCACCTCGCCTGGCACGGCCTGGGGGTGATGGGAGACAACGCCTCTTCCCAGCCCTGCCTCCCGTTTTCTGCACGGCCTGCGTTTAGCCAGGCATCCTGCACGGGCTCCTGCTCCGGGGGCTGGACTCGCCTCAGGTTCAACTGTGCTGTCAGCCACTGTCCTCGATATCCAAGGAGATGAAAACACTTAACAGCTTGATAGCTGCTAACAGCATCCCTTTACCTTCCTCACCAGCCTCTGGCAGGAGCTACAGCATGCAACCATCCAGGTTTTATTTCATCCGTTTGTAAGCTCCGCACTAACAGGGAAAGCAGCCATCTACTCAAGGCAGGGAGCTCTGCAGCCATTGTCCTTCAACTACAGGTGCAACAGGTAGGCACTTAGGACTTAACATCGTACATGGAGGAACACTGGTGGACAGCTTTAATTAGCACCTGGTTCAGCAGACACCTGCAGGAAGGAGTCAACAGGTGACATGTTAATCACTCTGTGGCATTGGGGTTCCCTCACCATGCAATACAGGGCCCGCAACCCAGCCTGAAGCACTGAAAAATGGAGGGAGAGTTTGAAAAAACAAGTCATGCTTCCAAAAGATCCCTCTCCACCTTGCCTGCTTCATCTGGAAAAGCAATGAGATGCTCTGGCTCAGCTCAGGAGCATTATGGACACCGTGGAGATCCCTCAATGGACTTACTGCCTTGTCTTACAGGCTTATTATCGCTGGTAATTGGATTTAGTGGAGAAACTGCAGGAGGGATCTTCTGTCAGACAGGCTCCAGGTTTCAGTTTTTCTTGAGAAACATTCAGGTGCAAATCAAGGGCAAACGTCCAGTCTAAGAACAGGCTTCTGGCAGAGGTTGTGAAGGGGAAAGCTCAACAGGGGAAAAAAGAGAAACAGCTATGGAACTTGAAGCACCAGAGATTTTTAAAAGCAGACTGGGTTGGGAATGGTCCATCATGGTTTGGAATAAAGGTCAATGGATCATCAAAGCCCTTCTCTTACTACAGTATCAATAACTGCAGAAGCACAAAGTACAGTTGTGTGAGGGGGAAAAATCTGGATTTATGAACATGCAGCGCTAGGAGATGGGTTTTTCAAGTCAATAGAAACAGGTGAGACATCAAAAACCAGGGGAATGGCTCTTTTCTACCCATTTTTAAAGTGGCTAAAAAGTACCCACTATAAATTAGTTGGAGAATTTTCCCAGGGTTGACACATTTTCTCTCAAAAAAACACCACTGCTTTGGGAGTGGTAGAATAAATACTACAGTGTACAAGAGGATCCATCCTTGTGAGACAAGGAACATGCTGAATCTGAACTTAAGAGTGCAAACAGCTAGAGTCCAATTCTGGAACAGCAGCTCTTCCTACCGGCGGTACAGATGTACCAGGAACGCAGGACTGAGTGCATGTCAGCTGAGCATCCTCCAACAGGACTGTTTCTTCATCTATAAAGGACAAAACCAAAAGGGGCTCCTCACCCTCATTTCTTAACAGAGTACTTGGGATAATGACACCTAGCTTTCTGAAGTCATCTCAGCCAAAGCTCAGCTTTGCCTGCCTGAGTCCTCACCAGGCACCAAGTCCCTTTGGGATCAAAGAAATCGTGGGCTGGGAAGCATCATTAGCCAGTCGCAGCTGATGTTCAGGCACATCCACTCTTACCACATTCTGGATTTAGAAGATCTGTTGGCAAAGGCTGGTCAGGAATTAAATGTATCACCTGACGGACCACAGTACTACCAGCCTCAAGTAAAACAGCAGTGATTCCCCATAATCAGTCCTCCAGGGCTGCGATCGCACAAGCAAGCACCTTCCTGTCCTGGCCCAGGGCACAGCCACAGAAACCTGGTGGAACAGTACTTGAATTTAAAATGCTAAGAGCATCATAAGCAGTCCTGTCTAGAAAAAACACAATGAGCAAAGACCCAACATCTTGCTGTTTAATTCCATCTGTGTTCAGAGAAATAAAAGTGCATGGATATTCTTGGTAAACAAGATTACTGCAAAGAATCAAATCTACACCCAGCTTCTCTTCCTCACCAACACCCTGTACAACCAAAACCATGGACTGAACGTCTACGTCAGAGGCATAGCAACTGGGGGAAGACTTCCTTCCTTGTTCAGGTGCCCTCACTCCCCACACCTTAACATATCTCTAGTTTGCTGCAGATCCATCCCTTTGGTGCAAAACCCCACCGTGCAGCTGAGACACTTGTTCTGTACAACATCTCGGGTACAGCAGCCCTCTGCCTCCGCTCCCTGCACCAGCAGGCACATGCTGCTTTGCACTGGATGGGCGCAGGATGCTGCTGCCGCAATACTGAGATGTTACAGGAACTGCTGGAGTAGTCTGAGTCCTGAAGTGCAGCTGAGTGCTCCAAGCCCCAAGTGGAATGAGCTCATGGTAATCAACAGATCTTGCACCAGCTAAGAGGAACTGCAGAGAAACACGCTGCAGGCACATTTCTTACCTGTACACACAGCAAGCTGACAGCCAATGTAAACTTTAATTACTGCACAGAGCTCTCCTGGCCACTTTATGTTCATAGGGTGGTTTTGTTTATAGGAAGAAGGATCTGCGAATTTATCCTACCATTCTAACTTTGTCCAGGCTCTTTCTTCCCCTCTGTTCTTTTTGGCCCATACTGCTGCTAAGTGGAAACAAGACACTATTTTTAACTTCAAATTATAAAGGAAACCTTTAGGGAGGAAAGCATTAAGCCTTCATCTTCCATACCCATTTCTTCATCCAGAAAACGAGGCCCATTTTCCTCAGAAGTGCATTTTGTAACCTGTTTCACAACTGCATCAAGGTCTTCCCCGGCAGGTGCTACAGAAGGTGGGATGCAATTTCTCAGATCTCACCTGCAGTGGGCATTGACCTGCAGAACTGCAACTGTGTTGTGAATTCTGGGTTATAGTGGTTTTAAGTCTGATGTCTCCAGGGCCTCATCTGTCCACAAGCTGCTTCATTTAAGTCACTTAATTCAGATTACGGATGGCTTTTGCAAAACCATAATGATCCTAGCTGAAATAAATACTCCAATTCTGCACTAGCGTAATCCCATTACAGCACTGCTCAGATCCCTTTTGCAACCTGGCCCTAGAAGCTCACCTTAAAAAAGGAAATGGGCTAATTGCTTTCAAAATGGTTTCCAGCAAGAAGACAGGATTGATCTTTCTGAAACAATTTCAGATGCCCTTGCATGCTGACAGACCAGAGGATGACTGTTCCTAAATAAGAAAACCCCAGGCAGGCACAGCCCCCAGACTTGCTTCCCAGGGCATGGCCGCTAATGCAGACACGGCATCCAACCAGGGAGCCAGCTGGCTTTTGTAAGCTCGCCATGCTTTGAAGCCTCTCCATGGAGATCGCAGCAGGGAACTGGGCGTTACAGGAGCTGTTTTTCCCAGCCATGCTTGTACACCCTTAGTAACAGCGGGCACTACCCAGGCCTTCGCTGAGCAGACCAGAACAAGACTTGTGCAAACCTTCCCCAGCAGCTCTGACTCTGCATGTAACTTTGCAGCTCGAGGGGGGATTAGAGCTCAGCTGGCTCCTTTCCTCACAAGTTGAAACCAAATGCACGTATTTGCAATTCAGACACGGTTCTCTCCAACTGAAGTCAGCTTACGTTTCATTTTCACAGGCCGTCAGAGCATCGTACACCCCTCTAACCCCCCGCCAAGGCCAGCGGGACTGCAAAGATGTAAATCAGAGACAGAAACACCCTCGGTGTTAGGACAGCGCAGGCAGCAAGCGGGCCGTGACTCAGCAGAAAGAGCTAGCCAGCAAGGTCCTCACCTCTCAGCAGCACAGAGCATGGGAAAAACAAATTCACCACTTTCCCTCTGATCACTTCAGCAAACGGAGAGACCTGACAATTGTGAGGTGCTTGGACCATCTCCTACGCTTCCCTCTTGCCCCCACCCCAGATGGGAAAAGATTGTTTCTTTTTCTTTGCAGTTGAACAGTGTGAAAAGTATGCAGAGCCCAACACCTGCAAGAGAAGATATAAGACCCAATACCCCTAAGTATTTTTGTTTTTTAATTAATCATTATTCCATTTATAAATCGCTTGTTACAAGAGGCTTTCCAGATCATTTCAACACTGTGTCTCTGTAAGAGGCAGAGTTGACTCATTAGGGAGTTACAGGATGCATTCACTTACATGACCTTGTGGGAATTATTAGGTTCCTGGCTTCACATCACATAAAGTCAAGACTCACTTGGCTTTGGTATCACAGAAGGGCAGTGAGTGCTTGCAGAGAATCCAGGATCCCTTTAGGTCTGCATGCTCAGAGTAACAGCCCCAGTAGCTCCTCTCCCTCGAGCACAAACCTGGGGTGTTTACAGCCTCTACCCAGATGCCAGCAGCAGCTTGCAGGGCTGAAGCCTGATCGCTGCTCCTGGCATTAGCTGTCCCCTTCACTGACAAACTTCAGAGATGCCAGCACCCAGAAGGGACTTTATTCCTGGAGGAGAGCAGCCACCGTGGCTCTGCCAGTTCTGCAGAGACAGAGAACGTTGCTCTGGGGTGAAACAGCCTTCTTGGCCAAACCCACTGTGTCTGCAGGCTGAAGCCCTAAACGGCTCCTGCTTACCCCAGGCAGAGTCTGCTGGTGGCCATCTGCAGATTGCCT